GTAGGTTAGTGTGTCCGGGTAGGGCTACGTGGTGAGGAGTGGGACCCTTGTCGTGCACCAACACCACGATGGATGACTACCCGATGTATGGGTTGCTGGTTGGGTTCTCCCTTTGGGGGACCCTCTGGCGTCTCCTCCTCCTCTTTCCTCTGGGATTTTGGCATACCTTTGCGTGTAGAGTAGGGCCCACTCGAGGTGGTACCGCCACCCAGCCATACACGAAGGAGGAGGAGGAGAAGATGGCCACTATCCTGCAGGAGAGAAAGGAGAAGAAGGAGGCCAAAAAGAAGGCCTTGAAGGAGGAGCAGCCGGCCAAGTTGAAGAAAATTGAGGAAGAGATGGCCAGGGAAAAAGAAAGATTGAAAAAGGAAGAAGAGGAGAAAATGAAGGAGGTGGAAGAAGAAGAAGAAGATGAAACGCCACTAGTAAGGAATAGGGGGAAGTACAGTGGCAGTAAAGATGCGGAGATGGAGAAGCGGATTTCGGAATGGGTCGCCAACTTGTCCCTGGGTGAAGAGGAAGAGGTCGCTATGTACATCCCCAAGGATGAGCAAGAAGCTGCCATGAGAAAATGGGAAGCAGAGGAAGATGTTCTGGCGCGGCGGGCGATGGAGGATGAACAGAGGATGGCGTGGAAGCTCGCAATGATGAGGGAGAAGAAGAGAAGAGTGGAGGCGGCAAATGCAGCAATACAGGAGTTGGAGGAGGTGCAGAAATTGAGGTTGCAATTAACACCCCAGATAGATCTCGAGCGGAAGGTGGAGATCATCGCCTAGAGTGTCGAGCGTTTGGCCAAAGTGCAGGAAAAGCACTATGAGTTTAGCCGCAGTCAGGAGATATCTGTGCGTTCGATGCGATCGGGGTTACAGGACTTTGCTCGCGAGTTAGTAGGTGCTGTGGGAACTGAGGTGAGTCATCGCCTCGAGAAGACTGAGCATTTTTGCGTCGGCGCCATTGAGGGCGTCAAGGTGGCAGCCCCCAAGGAGGAGGAGGCACGTCCACCTCGCAGGGAGCCGGTCAAAGTCAAATTCCCTGATTCCTACAGTGGAAAACGGGAAGAAAACTTTGACAATTGGGAGGCCAATGTCAGGACCTACGTGCATCTGCAACAGGTCTCCCCGGATCAGCAGGTCCTAATTGCGATCCACGCGCTTAAGGACGAGGCCGCGAGTTTTGCGAGGTCCCTTGTTCGTGCTGCCAACTGTAGTGATGATCCGGTAGCATAATCCACATTCACCCCCCTCTTGAGTTCCTGAAATTGCTGCGCGAGCGATTTGCTGATGTCGCTCGTAGTTTTAAAGCGCCAGACAGGTTGCAGGCGGTCCACGCCCGCAAGTGGAAGAGTGTCAGGGCACTCAAGAATACAATGGATGAGTTAGTGGTTGTCCCTGACCATGGGGTTACGGACACCCAGTTGGTCGGCCTCTTCTATCGGGCTATACCCGAAGCCCTTCGAGGGCATTTCTTCGCAAAGAGCGAAGACCCTGCCACTACGTATGATTCTCTTAGTCGGGAAGTGGTGGCTTTTGAAGCCAAGTCCGCGTCTGTGTCCACCTTCTGGCACAAGGACTTGGATAAGGGAAAGCAATGGAAGGGCCGCACTATCTCAGGGCAAGTAAAGACCAAGGTCAGCCTTGTCCTGACTTTAGACGAGGGTAGTGTGGATGAGATCCCCTACGATCAGATTGAGTGGGGTTTAGAGGAGGAGGACAGTGGTGTGGGCCAAGGGAGATCTTATGCTGCTGTCGAGGCTGGAGGGAGGCCGCAAGGAAGAGGCCAGGGCCAAGGGGGCCGGGCCTCAGGGAG